AAAACACCTATAAAGGAGAGAGTTTCCTTTACTGGTCATAGTAAATGATTTGGTAGCTTCATTTAAAAAATCCAAATTCTATTGAAGTCATGAGGGCAGGTAAAGAAACAGTGAAAAGATACACCTTTTATATTAATTTTTAAAGATACGTTTATTGAGTTCACTGCAAGAATGCTGTGGGTTGGGCAGTAACTAGATTACTACCTGCCTTACGTTAATTTTTTAAAAAAACGGGTTGATACCTCTCTGAGGAGTGGACAGGTGCTTGGGATGGGAGGGAGTGGGGGAGCAGGAGAAGGGGAAGAGGGGGAACTGGGATTGGTGTGTAAAATGAAAAGAAAATTTTAAATTTTAAAAAATAAAAAATATATATAAAAAAACAACAGATTGATAAATGGGTTCAAGTCTCAGTTTTTATTAAAGTGATCTCTGGTGCATGCAAATGCACTTACAGACCTATATCTCTAAGAAGAAAGTCCAATGAGCTGTATGATTTAGACTGCAAAGGACTAGCTGACTGGGATGCTGGGGAAATGCCAGCAGGGATTTAATTGAGCAAATGTTTTTTGTGGGTAAAAAATAACTTCCTTAAGAAATTGGGACCCTAGCTTGTACCTCACAAGAGAACAAAACAAAACTTTTTTTTAAAAGATCAACTACTTCAACTACCTGATACCAAGCAAATAAATCAACTTGAAAGCGGATTCAGTGAAAACCTTAGAATGTGTGACAGAAACAATTGCGTTTGACTGTACTTTCATAACTCAAAAGCTATAGCATGATGAGTGATAAAAATAAACCCACTAAAGATAGACTGGATATGGGTAATAAATAACATAAGCAAATAATCCAACATGAAACCAACAATCATTGTCTCAAGAGAAAAAAAGGTAGGAAAACCTTGACAGGAGGGTAAGAGACATGAGGTTAAAAAGAGAAGATACAAAATTGTGCAGGCTAGGCATAGGAAGATGGTAAGATAGAGGTCTGTTAAAGGAACCAGAATCAAAGAAAAGTACAAATTCTCAGAGCATGTATCTGAAAACCAAACAAACAACAGATACAGCAGAGAAACTGCACTGAAGTAAGATCTTCAAACTCTTGAAAGGAGTTAAAATGACTTTCACACTAGAGCATTGGCCTAAAAAGGGATCCTAATGTCTTCAAATGCTCAGGTAAGATTAATGTCAGCTTGGCAGTGTATATTCAATTAAAATATTTAAAATGAGGATAAATAAAATATATGTTCAGAAAAATAAGGAGAATTATTCTTTGGTTAGATAATTACTAAAGGATCTATGTCAAAAAAGAAATTGGATTCAGGGCACTGGCAAGCACCCAGATTTATCTAAATAAGTATTATGGACAGTGGGTGTTGGACTAACTTTTAGATTTCTGTTGACAAAATTTTCTCTCCAAAAATTAACAGAATAAGGTAAGGTTGGCAACTTTTAATTTTTCTAAAAGAAACAGTTTGTAAATCATGCTTTAAGCACACAGATTCTGCCCCTGACTTACAGTCTCTGGTTAACAACAGCTAAATAAAATCAGTAAAACTTAAGAAATGATGATTGTCTATTAAAATGAAAAATAAAAAAAGGTGTCAGGGCTGAAGATAGTGGTTAAGGGAACTGGCTGCCTTCCAGATGACCTGGGTTTCATCCCCAGCACCTACACAGAGGCTCACAACTGTCTGTAACTCTAGTTTCTAGGGATCTGGTGCCCTTTTCTGGCCTCTGTGGTCCCCAAGTATGCAAGTGGTACACAGCTATGCATGTAGGAAAGAGAGTATAATGAAAAAATACTACATTGGTATTATTCTTCTAGTTTTATCAGAGAAATTAAAAGCATTGGTTTCCCTGGTCCCTGCGATTCTATGTGATAATATTTCTGCATTATGCTAACATGTCTGGTGGGTGGTAGAGTCTCAGTAAATATTTGCAAATGGAAAGGGAATATTGCTATCACTATTTCAATCTTTCTTCCTGATTGTAGTTGACCCCATGAAACTAAAGATTCCATCTCAAATTTTCACTCTCCTGTACTGTCATTTAACAGAAATGTCTTTTAGAGGAGTTGTTGATGATTTCTTTCTTCTTCCTTAAATTTGAGGACCAGCAGAGCACCAGATTTCCCTGAGTCTCCCCAAAGTGAAATCTAAGATACTAAAGGAAACCCTAGTGCAGAGGCAATGATTTATTCACCTAGAGAAGTCATGAAACTAATCGTAATAAACTTGAACTTCTGTCGGGAATGATGAACACATGCAACAAAATTGTTGCTCCTGAGCTAAGCTGGGGGAAAAAGAAAACATTATTCCCATCCACTAACTGTACCCATCACCTTATATATTTCGTTTAGGAAAGGAATTTAACAAGTATGGTCTGTGTTATATAGAACTTTCTCAAGAGATAAAAACCTTTCAGCCTGCAGTTAAATTCATTATAGCTTGAAACCTTCATGAAAGTGTTTATTCAGCAATTAATATTCATGTGCAAAGGAAACTGCCCAACTAAATATGTTGCCCATATTCTAGAACTTCTTCCTTGGTGTGAAATGAGCATTTCTTGTATTTTGTCTTTCTCTTCTTAAATTCAATATCAAAATTCTTTCTTACTCGAGATGAAATGGCAACTGTGAAGTCTGCTGGAAAAGCTTTCTGTGATCTCTGTGACTACTTTAACAGTTCAAGTGTGTTTTCCAGTGTGGGTCGGCAGACCCTTGCTGCATGTAGCAATGTGTGATAAATTAATCCCTAGCAAAATGCCAGTCTTTAGGAAGCCAGTAAGGTAACACACTCCTGCTAGATGCCGAAATCTGTCTTTCAAACATCGAAGGAAGGTGTATTGTCAATCTGGACATCGCAATTAAAAAAAGAACCTAAATCACTTGTCACTTTGGGTAGAGGTGTTCAAAGGTGCTTTTAGAAAATAATGTTTCTACAACACAACTAAATTGTGTGTGTTTTTAATGGATGCTCTGGGTATTGTCTTCAAGAGTAGAATCTTCATCATATAGTTTTGTATAAAGTATATTTTAGGCTTCTTTTTGTCTTTGTCTAAAGTAAGATTTAGATCCAACAAAAAGAAAAAGTATGCAGAATCTTGTCCAGAGATAATCTATGCATTTTTTCACATTTTAAATATATTGTTCTATTAAATGTATCTCTGTGAACTCATTGTTACTTGAATTTGGATAGGCTTTTACACATAGTTCAATATTTTAAAACCTTTAAATAGTAGCAGTCCTGCTGCTTCTAAAATGTTAAACTAAAAGAATGTACTGAAAATACATTGTAGAACAAGTAAGTATTATTTTTATTGAGTTCCATTATAAAAAGAGCATTTTAGGTTGATACGATGATTCCCAGAAGGCTGTTCTAATGTTTTCCTTTTTAACTCACTAGTCTTTAAATAGAGTTTCAAAAATTGAAGTATATTTAATTTTTTTAATTTAGTTTTTATTTTGTGTGTATAAGTGTTTCGCCTGCATGTATGTCTGTGCATCATGTGCATGCCTGGTACCTATGAAGGCCAGAGGACATTGGATTTCCTAGAACTGGAGTTACAGATGGTTCTGAGCTGCCATGTGTGTGCTGGGAACTGACCTCAGGTCTTCTGCAAGAGTAGCTTGTGCTGTTAACAGCTGAGCCATTTCTTCAGCCCCCGATTTTAAGTACTTTAAAGCCCAATACACATTGTATGTCACCGCCTGCCTGATAGACAACACCCCAATAGGAATCCAAAGGGAGCCTCAGCTCTGAGTATTGTCTTCAATAGTAGAATCAAGTACTGTAGTATCATGTGAAGATTTCCACTTGCAGAATCATTAGTTCCCATATTTTACCACTTTCCTTCTCAATTATGTCTATGTCAAATGATTTCTTTTGTGTCTGGAGAGTTAAAACTTCACTTGAGACGTAAAAGTGACAGGGTTAAGTGCTATATATTTATTATTTCTAAATATTTATTGCATATTGTAACAAATATATTTAGATTCATAGTTCTAGTTTAAATTAATGGTGGTGATAGTAATTGATGATCATATGTAAAAAATTAGAATTTTGAGTATTTTCTTCTGAAGTTATTTTTTTAGATAATTATAACACAGACATAATATTTAGACATATCTAGATGATAACCTGATAACTTAACCTAGTATTTTATATTGTTGGTATTGGAAAAGTCTTATACTTCTGTTCTGAGTCAGAAAATACTAAGGAAGGAGGTGAAAATGTCATAAATAGGAGTATTTTATGCAAGTTTACCATCATTGTATTAAACTGTTTGATAACTGAAAATAATATTTCAAGATAATTCTTTGACATACAAAATTTAAAAATTACTCTAAAATGTACCTCATATTTCTTTAAATTTATATGTTAAATTCCTATCTACTTGACAGTGTCTGCTCTGTCTTTTCACTCCCCAGAATACTACCAATTTTTAAAACTTAGATACTCTGTTGGCAATTGTTAAGTTTGTGTTAGTATTTATTCTCAAGCATTGAAAAACTGAATTTCTTCTCTATGTATTTTTCATTATTTTTCCTTATTAATGAAATATCTGTACATTGTTATGAAAAGATCCCCAGCAGTATTAAATAATAAAACATACTTTATCTGCTAAAACATGAATTAGACCAAAGCTTAAGTGAATAACCTACCCTCTGAAAGACCTTCACCCTAAATCCTCTTTCAATAGTAGCTTGAACATCAGCAAGTGAGGCTGAGTGACTGTGATGTGCTCTATTCAAGAAACGCACGTGGCCGGGCGGTGGTGGCGCACGCCTTTAATCCCAGCACTCGGGAGGCAGAGGCAGGTGGATCTCTGTGAGTTCGAGGCCAGCCTGGTCTCCAAAGCCAGTACCAGGAAAGGCACAAAGCTACACAGAGAAACCCTGTCTTGAAAAAAATAAATAAATAAAATAAAAAAAAATAAAGAAACGCACGTGACTTTAACCTCCGTTCCTCATCAACCTGCTTTCTCCTTCTTTCCTAGGAAGTGTGTAGAGAGCTCTGGTGCCTTAGCAAAAGCAACCGCTGTGTCACCAACAGTATTCCAGCCGCCGAGGGGACATTGTGTCAGACTGGGAACATTGAAAAGGGGGTAAGCACCAATGATTTGTTACCTGTTTGACACATAAACTGATCAGTTTCTGGTGCTGATGTTCATACGCTGGAAGTCTATAGTAATTTAAGATGTACTTTGAATAGTATGTTTTTAACCAAGTGGTAATTGTCTACAAATGTGCCTTACTTGTGAAATTAAAAGGAGCTAACATCTTTGTGTCAGTTTCACATAAAAGAATAATAATAAAATAAAAGGAAGCAATTTATTGAACATAAAAGTTATGGCTTGAAATCATAGTTTTCATTATTCTAATTAAAAAAATCTCTAAGAATTGTTCATGCAGGATTGGGATATGGCTGAAATGCTAGAGCATTTCCTAAAATGTAGAAGGTCTGGGCTCAATCTTCAGCACCATAGGAAAAAAAAGAAGAATTATTCAAGCAGATATAAAAAATTAGTTATATTCTGCTACTCAAATTCTCTGGAATTGTTATATACGTAAATTATAGAATTCTATGGACTGAATTTATAACTAATACTTGTCATCTCTTCTCTGTTTTGCCTTCTTCCATGTGAGCTGGGCTACTTTCAACAAAGATCACACTGAATTTCAGCTTGCAGTGGGATATTTAAATAAAAAGAATGAAAGTTTTTGGGCAGCTGTCACAGTTTATTAATTCTTGCTGACGGCTTCATTCAGGACCCATGACCTAGTGCCATGTTGATGGCTTTTCCATGCTGGGTTTGGAAATGTTGGTAAATTATGCTAAATATAAGGATTGGTAAGGCCATTTTAAAAGGATTAGGGATTTTTTTTTCAAAATTTATAAGTAGCCAATAAAAATACAGAGACCTTCATACACTACAAAAATTCTTTCTTTCTCTTTTTTTTTTTCTTCACTGAAGTAATAGAAAATATTAGGAACCACATTCTTGAAACAACAGTCTAGGTTTATTTTGGACCTGCCAGTCCTTGTCAAGGACAAGTAGCAATTTACATCCATCTGCAAAGAAATGTACAAGTGAAGGAAGGAAGCCGCAATGGGAAACTGTTGCTTTATTAGCCGTTCACTGGTGGACTGTTCTTTTCACAGTCTGGCCTGAATCACAGTTTTTCTTCTCCTAGAGTAGCACTGTCAATAGACCTGATGGGTTTTTATTTTACTTTATTTTTCTAAGCAGAGAACTATTTTTCTATAAATATTCATGAACTAGAGATGTAACTCAGTGATAGAATATTTGTCTAGCATTCACAAGGTCTTGGGTTTGATCCCCAGCACTACAAAAAAGGACAGGGAGTAAACATCTCAGAGCTTTCCTACAAGCATTCTAGAAGTTCTATAATCACTACAAATATTAGTAATTATGCTATGAGTGATAGCTATTTGAAAATACATGGCTCAACTTTAATCACCTATGTGGCAAACACAATTGTGGTGGTTTGAATATGTATGGCCCCCCATAGACTCAGTCGTTTAAATGCTTGGCCCATAGGGAGTGGCACTATTAGGAGGTGTGGTCTTGTTGGAGGAAGTGTGTCACTGTGGAGGCGGGCTTTGAGGTCTTATATACTCAAGCTATGCCCAGTGTGGTACACAGTCTCTTTCAGCTGCCTGTGGATCAAGCTTTTTCTCCAACACCATGTCTGCCTGCATGCTACCATATCCTGCCATGATGATAATGGACTAAAACTCTGAACTGTAAGCTGCCCAATTAAATGTTTTCCTTATTGAAAATTGCTGCAGTCATGGTGTCTCTTCACAGCAATAGAAACCCAAACTACAACAAAAGTTGGTACCAGGGACTGGGGTATTGCTGTGGTAGGCCTGAACATGCTTTTTTGGAGGACTGTGGATTTTGGAACTTTAGATCAGAAAAGCAGTTGAACACTTAAATGGGGATTAATGGACTAACCTAGTAGGAACATGGAGGACAGTGATGCTGAGGGTGATTTGAACTGGGTGAATTTGACTCAAGAGGTTTCAGAGGAGAATTTTAGCATGTAGCTGAGAGACTGTTCTTATGATATTTTGGCAAAGAATGTGGCTGCTTTTTGCCTTTGTCTGAAAAGTTTGCCTGAGGCTAAAGTGAAGAGTTTTGGATTAATTCCATTGGCAGAGGAAGTCTTAAAACAGCCTAGTATTGACTGTTTTTTGGTGATTGGTGTTCACTCTTACAAAGATTTATAATGAAAAGGAGCAAACTGAGCAAGGAAAAATACAAAATGTACAATTTAAGGATACAGAAGGCACCAGGAGGTGGAATGATGTTAAGTCCTTTGTTCAAGGAAATAAACAGGTTAAGAAATGGAATATAGGGAGTGGTGACCTTAGGGCAAGTTCCCACCCAGCTAAGTTTCCAACTTGCAAAAAGGAATTAAGAGAAAGTTTAGAGCCCTGTGTGGTGGTGGTGTACACCTTTAATCTCAGCACTTAGAAGGCAGAGGCTGGAAGATCTTTGAGTTTGAGGTCAGGCTAGTCTACAGAGCAAGTTCCAGAGCCACCAAGCTTAGGCAGTGAAAGACAGAAAACAGTGAATAGCTGAACGAGGAAGACATGTTCCAATCCCAGCAAGCACCAACCCCACTAAGCACCAGATCTTGGCAGCTTCAGCCACATGGTTCTGGTTTTAGTCAAGGATACAAGAAAGAGGTTATAGAATCTCCCTCCATGACTAAGGAAATCCATTGAGGCCAGGCATATGGCAGGGATGTCCCTGCATGGAGGCCCCGAAAGGCCATTGTGTGAAGTTGTGAAGGTGATTGTCTTGGAGACCCCAAAATTTTGGAGATTCTAGGATTGTGGGATACCTGCTGAAGAAAGCTGCTAACAGGGAGTGGAAACAGCCTAAGAGAAAGTAGTGTGTTGCAGTCAACAAAGCTGAAAGGAGTTGGAGATCTGAAGAGCAATTTGACATCAGACATGGAGATGCAGAGTTTGAAGTTTGCCTAGCTGGTTTTAGTCTTGCTTTGGTCTAGTATTTCTTTACTATGCTTCCTTTCCTCCATTTTGGAACAGTAATGTATATCCTATGCCATTATATGTTGGAAGCATGTGATCTGTTTTCTGATTTTGATTTTATATGGTATTAGAATTAAGAGATTGCATGAACTCAGAAGAGACTTTGAAATTTGGACTTTCATTCATTGTTGAGACTATGATAGATTATGGGGACTTTAAAGTTGGACTAAATGCATTTTGTATTATGTTATGGCTACAAGCCTTTGGGGCCAGGGAATGCAATGTGGTAGTTTGAATAGGTATGGCCCCCATAGGCTCATGTCTGAAGCATGACGCATAGGGAGTGGCACTATTAGGAGATACAGCCTTGTTGAAAGAGATGTAGCCTTGTTGGAGGAAGTGTGTCATGGGTGGAGGCTGACTTTGATGTCTTATATGCTCAAACTATGCCCAGTGTGGTATATAGTCTCTTTCTGCTGCCTGCAGAAAGGTCCTTCTCCAGCACAATGTCTGCCCTTATGCTGCCCTGCTTCTTGCCATGATGATAATGGACTAAACCTCTGAAAGTGTAAGCCAGCCTCAGTTAAACGTTTTACTTTATAAGAGTTACTGTGTTCATGGTGTCTTTAGTATCTTTTTTGAGCTGAGCTTGATAACAGGCCCTTAACTATTATGTCACAGAACTATATGCATATATGTGATGAAGACTGGATATCTCTTAGAAATTACAAATTTGGAGAATTCTCAGAAAACATTTGCAATGCTAAGGTGACAGCATTGAATTTAAGTTTATTAAAGTAAATAGAGTTAGAATTATTCCTAAGCATGAATAAAAATAAGCAGAGATGAGACAACATAAATAAAATAGGGCAAAAATACATTTGATTCCTAAAGACTTAATTCTTACTTTAGTAGACTTTCATATCCCTAAACCCTTTCTTCAAATGAACCCTAATTTTAGTATATGGATTTAAAATTAGGAATGCTTCATTCTCACTTCAAGAGCTCCTTGCTGGGCCTTAGCCTATCTTCCCAGACCATTACTAGCTCATGGCATACTTCCACAGAATAAGTTGGACTCTACAAAAAACTACCTACGATCCTTGTAAGGGTAGCGCTGGTTGTCGATCAAGATGCCAATTTTATTCACAACACAATAGTGTAGTATCATAAAGTCAATATGGTGGATGTGATCACCTAAAATTAATATATAAAGCAAATCTTAGTCATTTCATTTTCCCAGAAGCATGGAAGATGGGAAGTTTTAGAAACGGTACTAACAAACCTTAAAATGAATAAACCTATGGGAAAAAGGCAAATGTAGATTCCTAGAGGGAAAATAATATTAGAAAACAATTTAGGAGACCTTCAAAGTGCCCACAAAAAATTGAATTTATTTAGTATGATGGCACATGGCAGTAATTGTCATTATTTGTGAGTCATGGACACTGTGGGTTCTAAGCTAGCCTGGGCAATTTAGTGAGGCTCTATTCAGTATAAAAATTGAAATTGAGGGTGTGCTGAGGATAGCCTAATGAGATAACACTTTTCTGGTCGCATGTGTATAGTCCTAGTTGAATAGGCTACCATGTGCGCACATACACACAAACTTAGAAATTTTAAAAAATACTTTAGACCTGCATTTTAAAACAGAACAAAAGCAAAGATGACTTGGTTCAATACTTTTTACTCATTGACTTTATTTAATACTATTCTCAATGAATTTTTGTTTTTGAGGGTGATATATATTTACTGTTGCTAAGTACAGATTTTACACTTATAGCTTTGTCTATTTGGAAATTAAATGAGAACTCAGAATTTTGTCCGAAAAAAAGAACAACCGTGCAGAGTCCTAGTGACAAAAATTAAAGTGGCAATTTCAATTGACCTGATCGACCTTGTGGTTAGTCTAAACTAGGAATATAAAAATAGATGACATTCCCAATAATACTGATGGCAATGATAATGTTTTTAAAATACTTATGTCATGCCAGGTACGTGTTGCCATTTTCCTGTTGACAAAACCTCAATGAAGCAGGTACTGTTTTAACTTCATTTTACAGACGAAGAAAGGCT